AAAAACTTTTTTCAATTTTTTTAAGTCGACGGAATCGGAGGGAAAGGGAAAACTTTTTGTTTTGGTATTCTGCTCACACCGGCGCTCGTCCCTCGATGATAAAGCCGAAGACAAACTGTCTGGCGGAGCACGTCCACGCGGAGCTCACCACTGCACGCTTATCAGTTTGTTTTCTGTTGCTTCCTTTCTTTTTTCAATCGCTCTGTTACGTAACTGTGTCTCAGCCTCTCGTCGCAGGGCAGGAGAGAGAGAACAGACACGAACCACAAGGAGGGGGGGCTTTAAGAGAGCTGGAACACAGCCGCGTCTGCCAGTTGCGTGTGCGAGCACTCCCGCGGCGGTCGTTCCTCCAGACAAAACGGACCTCCGCTGCGTCTTCTCTCGTTCCATGGCCTCTCTATCTTTCTCTCTTTCTTTTGTCTTTTTCTAGGTTTCTCCCTCGTTTCTTCTCTTTCTCTGTTTCTCCTACCCTCTCTTTTTTTGCTCCCCTTCTCTCTATTTCTCTTCCCGACCCAACCTCCCATCCATCTATCTCTCCATCCACATCCCTTTCGGTCGAGCGAGAAGGACCTCCCTGGCCTCCCCGCCCCAGCCTCCTGTGATGCGGAGGAGTGAGGTCTTGGCTTCGTCCCGACACCCTTCCGTGGCAGAGCTGAGGCCGCCCACTCTCCATGTCTTCGATGCAAACGACGGAGACTTAACGAAGCACCAGGAGGAGTTTCTCAGTGTGACTTGAAGGCATTCTGTTGACGGAAAATCGAGTTCCCAAGGGCGTTCATATTTTAGGAAAGATATAATCCTGGTTTGGCGTCAATTGTTTTTTTCGTCGATAGTATAAGCCGCTGCAACAGTCGCCATGAAGCAGATAGCCTCAGGTGAGCTGAACTAATTCTCAAAAAAGATGAATAAATAAATGGAAATGATCATCGAAATGAACTGCAATAGAAACTGAATTGAACGAGAAAAAACGTGAAACGTACTTGTGTTTATCACTGGAAGGAATTTCCTCGAATCAAAACAGTGTGCTTGTGAACATTTATACATATGGTTTTGTGTGTGTGTGTGTGTATGTGTGAGTGTTAGAGTGTGTGTGAATATGTGTATTTGTGTGTGTTTTGGAGTGCGCGAGTGCGTGTATTTGTGAGTGTGTGTGTTGGAATGTGTGTGTGAAGTCTACATATACATACATAGTTTGACTAAACACTACACTTCATCCAGGTAAAAAGACCCTAACCCTCCTGATCCTGATTCTCTTGACGGCGCTGACGGAGGGGAAACCCGGACGGGCAGACAGCAATAAGCCTCAACGTTTATCCATACCTTGCATCATGCCCAAGATGGACTGCGGTGAGTGGGGGAGGGGGGAAAGAGAGAGAGAAAGAGAGAGGGGGAGGGAGGGGGGAAAGACAGATATATAGATAGATAGAGAGAGAGTGGAGGGTGAGAGAGAGCAAAATCCATTTATTGATATATATCTTGCTATTTAACATAGTTAACATAACAATCGACAGAGAGAGAGAGAGAGAGAGAGCGAGAGAGAGAGAGAGAGAGAGAGAGAGAGAGAGAGAGAGAGAGAGAGAGAGAGAGAGGAGAGAGAGAGAGAGAGAGAGAGAGAGAGAGAGAGAGAGGGGTAGATGGAGGAGAGAGAGAGAGAGATAGTAAAATCTATTTATCTACATCATATATCTTGCTATTTAACATAGTCAACATTACAATCGACACATTTTATCACACTGGCGTGGCAGGAATCTTGTCTCGCCTGTCTCAGACCGCTTTCTTGGAATTACTAAAAGTGACAGAAATACAGAGAGAGAGAGAGAGAGAGAGACGGACATAGACAGAGAGACAGACAACAGCAGACAGAGAGAGAGAGAGAGAGAGAGAGAGAGAGAGAGAGAGGAGAGAGAGAGAGAGAGAGAGAGAGAGAGAGAGAGAGAGAGAGAGAGAGAGAGAGAGAGAGAGAGAGAGAGAGAGAGAAAGAAAGAAAGAGAGAGAGGGACAGACAGACAGACAACCGACGGAATCAACGGTAAACAACATTGGTCATCTACAAAAAATAGAAACATTTTCGTTCTAATTTCAGATCCGCATCAAGTTCCAAAATTTTTCGACGATGACGATAAGATAATTGGCGGGAAGGTGACAGAACCAGGTAAATATGAAAAAAAAAAAAAAAAAAAAAAAAAAAAAATATATATATATATATATATATATATATATATATATATATATATATATATATATATATATATATATATATATATATATATATATATATACGACTAAAATATATCAAATGTCAAATGTCATCTTTTGTTATTTCACGTTTTTATTCTCACGATGATACGATGTGTGTCAGAGAGCTTATTCAAATGTCGTCTTTATTGGTATCGTTATTATTGTTGTTGTTGCTGTTAGTATCGTTATTATGATTACTATTTTTAATGTTGCTGTTATCTTGTTTATGACTGTTATCATTATTATAGTTGTTGTTATTACTATTGTTTTTTTTCATCATTTACTATTATCATTATTATTATCATTATCATTATCATTATTATCATTATCATTATCATTATCGTTATCATCATTTTCATTATCATTATCATTATCATTATCATTATTATTATTCATTATCATTATCATTATCATCATTATCATTATCATTATCATTATCATATCATCATCATCATCATCATCATCATCATCATCATCATCATCATTATCATCATCATTGTTGTTGCTCCTACTACTGTTATTTTATTTATCATTCTAATCATTATTATCATATTGTTTCTTAGTGATGCTAATAGATAAAGGTCCCAACACAAAATCAGGAATTGACGTCGGAACTCAGAAAGTTTGTTGGAAAATTTTCGTTTAGAGTAAAAAAAAAAAATGCAGTGTTCGTTACCTGTATGTGAAAGGATGCTTATTGCTTAGCCATACATAGTTATACAGTCAGTTAATACTTACGATGAGAGGGAGAATAAAGTCCAAGTTAAACTAGTACAGAGATGATGGTATAACAGATGGAAGAGACAGTGTGTGAGATCGACAAAAGCTTTTTCAAAATCCGAAAAAAGAGAGCGCGTAGGTAAGACCAAGGTCTATGTAAGTACTTATATAGACCTTGGGTAAGACGTCTGGTGAACGGGGTGGCATCAAGTGACCTCGTATGTGATCAACGGGGAAGAGAGTGACCCTATGCCATCTCCGATCTCAGGTACCACGCCCTGGCTGGTATCGCTCAAGGACAGCCACTACGACGACCCCGTCCACTTCTGCGGCGGGACGGTCCTCAGCCACGCGTGGGTCCTCACCTCCGCCTCCTGCGTCGCCGGCTACAGCTACCCTTACACGTACCTTCAGGTGAGGCTCGCTTGGTTGGCACTCACAGTTCGCGGGCTTTCGCTCGCTTGGTTGGCACTACCTCGCTTGGTTGGATTTCAGGCTCGCTGGCACAGTTCGCGAGCTTTCAGGTGAGGCTCGCTTGGTTGGCACTCACAGCTCGCGGGCTTTCAGGGGAGGCTCGCTTGGTTGGCACTCACACAGGCTCGCTTGGTTTCAGGCTTTCAGGGGAGGCTCGCTTGGTTGGCACTCACGGTTTTGGGCTTTCAGGGGAGGCTCGCTTGGTTGGCATGGGCTTTCAGGGGAGGCTCGCTTGGTTGGCACTCACAGTTCGCGGGCTTTCAGGGGAGGCTCGCTTGGTTGGCACTCACAGTTCGTGGGCTTTCAGGTGAGGCTCGCTTGGTTGGCACTCACAGTTCGTGGGCTTTCAGGTGAGGCTCGCTTGTTGGCACTCACAGGCTTTCAGGTGAGGCTCGCTTGGTTGGCACTCACATTTCGCGGGCTTTCAGGTGAGGCTCGCTTGGTTGGCACTCACAGTTCGGGCTTTCAGGGGGGCTCGCTTGGTTGGCACTCACAGGCTTTCAGGGGAGGCTCGCTTGGTTGGCACTCACGGTTCGTGGGCTTTCAGGGGAGGCTCGCTTGGTTGGCACTCACATTTCGTGGGCTTTCAGGGGAGGCTCGCTTGGTTGGCACTCGCATTTCGCGGGCTTTCAGGTGAGGCTCGTTGGTTGGCACTCAGCGCTCGTTTGGTTGGCACTCACGGTTCTTCAGGGGAGGCTCGTTGGTTGGCACTCACTCGTGGGCTTTCTCGCTTGGTTGGCACTCGCATTTCGCGGGCTTTCAGGTGAGGTCGCTTGGGCACTCGGTTCGGGCTTTCAGGGGAGGCTCGTTTGGTTGGCACTCACGGTTCGTGGGCTTTCAGGGGAGGCTCGCTTGGTTGGCACTCACAGTTCGTGGGCTTTGAGGCTCTGGCATTCAGGGAGGCTCGCACTCACATTTCGCGGGCTTTCAGGGGAGGCTCGTTGGTTGGCACTCACACTTTCAGGGGAGGCTCGCTTGGTTGGCACTCACAGTTCGTGGGCTTTCAGGGGAGGCTCGCTTGGTTGGCACTCACGGTTCGGGCTTTCAGGGGGGCTCGCTTGGTTGGCACTCACGGTTCGTGGGCTTTCAGGGGAGGCTCGTTTGGTTGGTTCGCGGGCTTTCAGGTGAGGCATCAGGCTTTCAGGGAGGCTCGTTGGTTGGCACTCACAGTTCGGGCTTTCAGGGGAGGCTCGCTTGGTTGGCACTCAACAGTTCGTGGGCTTTCAGGGGAGGCTCGTTTGGTTGGCACTCTCAGTTCGTGGGCTTTCAGGGGAGGCTCGTTTGGTTGGCACTCACATTTCGCGGGCTTTCAGGGGAGGCTCGCTTGGTTGGCACTCACATTTCGCGGGCTTTCAGGGGAGGCTCGCTTGGTTGGCACTCACAGTTCGTGGGCTTTCAGGGGAGGCTCGCTTGGTTTGCACTCACAGTTCTGGCTTTCAGGGAGGCTCGTTTGGTTGGCACTCACGGTTCGTGGGCTTTCAGGGAGGCTCGTTTGGCTTGGCACTCACATTTCGCGGGCTTTCAGGGAGGCTCGCTTGGTTGGCACTCACATTTCGCGGGCTTTCAGGGGAGGCTCGTTTGGTTGGCACTCACGGTTCGTGGCTTTCAGGGGAGGCTCGCTTGGTTGGCACTCACTTTCGTGGGCTTTCAGGGGAGGCTCGCTTGGTTGGCACTCACACAGTTCGTGGGCTTTCAGGGAGGCTCGCTTGGTTGGCACTCACAGTTCGTGGGCTTTCAGGGGAGGCTCGCTTGGTTGGGTTGCGGCTTTCAGGGGAGGCTCGCTTGGTTGGCACTCACAGTTCGTGGGCTTTCAGGGGAGGCTCGCTTGGTTGGCACTCACGGTTCGTGGGCTTTCAGGGGAGGCTCGCTTGGTTGGCACTCACATTTCGTGGGCTTTCAGGGGAGGCTCGCTGGTTGGCATCACAGTTCGTGGGCTTTCAGGGAGGCTCGCTTGGTTGGCACTCACAGTTCGTGGGCTTTCAGGGGAGGCTCGTTTGGTTGGCACTCACAGTTCGTGGGCTTTCAGGTGAGGCTCGCTTGGTTGGCACTCACATTTCGCGGGCTTTCAGGGGAGGCTCGTTGGTTGGCACTCACGGTTCGTGGGCTTTCAGGGGAAGGCTCGCTTGGTTGGCACTCACATTTCGTGGGCTTTCAGGGGAGGCTCGCTTGGTTGGCACTCTCACGGTTCGTGGCTTTCAGGGGAGGCTCGTTTGGTTGGCACTCACGGTTCGTGGGCTTTCAGGTGAGGCTCGCTTGGTTGGCACTCACAGTTCGCGGGCTTTCAGGTGAGGCTCGCTTGGTTGGCACTCACAGTTCGCGGGCTTTCAAGGGAGGCTCGCTTGGTTGGCACTCACAGTTCGTGGGCTTTCAGGGGAGGCTCGCTTGGTTGGCACTCACAGTTCGTGGGCTTTCAGGGAGGCTCTTGGTTGGCACTCACGGTTCGTGGGCTTTCAGGAGGCTCGCTTGGTTGCACTCACAGTTCGTGGGCTTTCAGGTGAGGCTCGCTTGGTTGGCACTCACAGTTCGTGGGCTTTCAGGGGAGGCTCGCTTGGTTGGCACTCACGGTCGGGGCTTTCAGGGAGGCTCGCTTGGTTGGCACTCACAGTTCGCGGCTTTCAGGGGAGGCTCGCTTGGTTGGCACTCAGTTCGTGGGCTTTCAGGGGAGGCTCGCTTGGTTGGCACTCACAGTTCGCGGCTTTCAGGGGAGGCTCGCTTGTTGGCACTCACAGCTTTCAGGGGGGCTCGCTTGGTTGGCACTCACTTCGTGGGCTTTCAGGGGAGGCTCGTTTGGTTGGCACTCACAGTTCGTGGGCTTTCAGGGGAGGCTCGCTTGGTTGGCACTCACAGTTCGCGACTTTCAAGGGGAGGCTCGCTTGGTTGGCACTCACAGTTCGTGGGCTTTCAGGGGAGGCCTCGCTTGGTTGGCACTCACAGTTCGCGACTTTCAGGGAGGCTCGCTTGGTTGGCACTCACAGTTCGCGGCTTTCAGGGGAGGCTCGCGCACTCCAGGTTCAGGGGAGGCTGCTTGGTTGGCACTCACATTTCGCTTTCAGGGGAGGCTCGCTTGGTTGGCACTCACAGTTCGCGGACTTTCAGGGAGGCTCGCTTGGTTGGCACTCACAGTTCGCGGCTTTCAGGGGAGGCTCGCTTGGTTGGCTCACAGTTCGCGGACTTTCAGGGGAGGCTCGCTTGGTTGGCACTTCACAGTTCGCGGCTTTCAGGGAGGCTCGCTTGGTTGGCACTCACATTCGCGGGCTTTCAGGGGAGCTCGCTTGGTTGGCACTCACAGTTCGCGGGCTTTCAGGGGAGGCTCGCTTGGTTGGCACTCACAGTTCGCGGGCTTTCAGGGAGGCTCGCTTGGTTGGCACTCACAGTTCGCGGCTTTCAGGGGAGGCTCGCTTGGTTGGCACTCACAGTTCGGGCTTTCAGGGGAGGCTCGCTTGGTTGGCACTCACAGTTCTTTCAGGTTGAGGCTCGCTTGGTTGGCACTCACAGTTCGCGGACTTTCAGGGGAGGCTCGCTTGGTTGGCACTCACAGTTCGCGGCTTTCAGGGGAGGCTCGCTTGGTTGGCACTCACACGCTCGCTTGGTTGGCACTCACAGTTCGCGGACTTTCAGGGAGGCTCGCTTGTTGGCACTCACAGTTCGCGGACTTTCAGGTGAGGCTCGCTTGGTTGGCACTCACAGTTCGCGGCTTTCAGGGGAGGCTCGCTTGGTTGGCACTCACTCGCTTTCAGGGAGGCTCGCTTGGTTGGCACTCACAGTTCGCGGGCTTTCAGGGGAGGCTCGCTTGGTTGGCACTCACAGTTCGCGGACTTTCAGGGGAGGCTCTTGGTTGGCCATCACAGTTCGCGGGCTTTCAGGTGAGGCTCGCTTGGTTGGCACTCACATTCGCGGCTTTCAGGGGAGGCTCGCTTGGTTGGCACTCACGGTTTGCGGGCTTTCAGGGGAGGCTCGCTTGGTTGGCACTCACAGTTCGCGGGCTTTCAGGGGAGGCTCGCTTGGTTGGCACTCACAGTGGCGGCTTTCAGGGGAGGCTCGCTTGGTTGGCACTCACAGTTCGCGGGCTTTCAGGGGAGGGCTCGCTCTTGGTTGGCACTCACAGTTCGCGGCTTTCAGGGGGAGGCTCGCTTGGTTGGCACTCACAGTTCGCGGGCTTTTCAGGGGAGGCTCGCTTGGTTGGCACTCACAGTTCGCGGAATTTCAGGGGAGGCTCGCTTGGTTGGCACTCACAGTTCGCGGACTTTCAGGGGAGGCTCGCTTGGTTGGCACTCACGGTTCGCGGGCTTTCAGGGAGGCTCGTTGGTTGGCACTCACAGTTCGCGGGCTTTCAGGGGAGGCTCGCTTTGGTTGGCACTCACAGTTCGCGGCTTTCCAGGGGAGGCTCGCTTGGTTGGCACTCACAGTTCGCGGCTTTCAGGGAGGCTCGCTTGGTTGGCACTCACAGTTCGCGGACTTTCAGGTGAGGCTCGCTTGGTTGGCACTCACAGTTCGCGGCTTTCAGGGGAGGCTCGCTTGGTTTGGCACTCACGTTCGCGGGCTTTCAGGGGGAGGCTCGCTTGGTTGGCACTCACAGTTCGGAGGGCTTTCAGGGGAGGCTCGCTTGGTTGGCACTCACAGTTTCGCGGGCTTTCAGGGGAGGCTCGCTTGTTGGCACTCACTTTCGGGGCTTTTCAGGGAGGCTCGCTTGGTTGGCACTCACAGTTCGCGGGCTTTCAGGGGAGGCTCGCTTGGTTGGCACTCACAGTTCGCGGGCTTTCAGGGGAGGCTCGCTTGGTTGGCACTCACAGTTCGCGGGCTTTCAGGGAGGCTCGCTTGGTTGGCACTCACAGTTCGCGGGCTTTCAGGTGAGGCTCGCTTTGGTTGGCACTCACAGTTGGCTTTCAGGGGAGGCTCGCTTGGTTGGCACTCACAGTTCGCGGGCTTTCAGGGGAGGCTCGTTGGTTGGCACTCACCTCTGGCTTTCTTGAGCTTGGTTGGGCACTCACAGTTCGCGGGCTTTCAGGGGAGGCTCGCTTGGTTGGCACTCACGGTTCGCGGGCTTTTAGGGGAGGCTCGCTTGGTTGGCACTCACAGTTTCGTGGCTTTCAGGGGAGGCTCGCTTGGTTGGCACTCACAGCTCGCGGGCTTTCAGGTGAGGCTCGCTTGGTTGGCACTCACAGTTCGCGGGCTTTCAGGGAGGCTCGCTTGGTTTGGCACTCACAGTTCGTGGGCTTTCAGGGGAGGCTCGCTTGGTTGGCACTCACAGTTTGCGGGCTTTCAGGGGAGGCTCGTGGTTGGCACTCAGTTCGCGGCTTTCAGGGGAGGCTCGCTTGGTTGGCACTCACAGCTCGCGGCTTTCAGGGAAGGCTAGCTTGTTGGAGGCACTCACAGTTCGCTTCGGGAGGCTCGCTTGTTGCACTCAAAGTTCGCGGGCTTTCAGGGGAGGCCTCGCTTGGTTGGGCACTCACGGTTCGTGGGCTTTCAGGGGAGGCTCGCTTGGTTGGCACTCACAGGTTCGCTTCGGGAGGGGAGCACTCACAGTTCGCGGGCTTTCAGGGGAGGCTCGCTTGGTTGGCACTCACACAGGGAGGCTCGCTTGGTTGCACTCACAGCTCGCGGCTTTCAGGGAAGGCTCGCTTGGTTGGCACTCACGGTTCGCGGGCTTTCAGGGGAGGCTCGCTTGGTTGGCTCGGCTTTCAGGGAGAGCTCGCTGGTTGGCACTCACACAGTTCGCGGGCTTTCAGGGAGGCTCGCTTGGTTGGCACTCACGGTTGCGGGCTTTCAGGGGAGGCTCGCTTGGTTGGCACTCACAGCTCGGGCTTTCAGGGGAGGCTCGCTTGGTTGGCACTCACAATTTGTGGGCTTTCAGGGAAGGCTCGCTTGGTTGGCACTCACAGTTCGCGGGCTTTCAGGGGAGGCTCGCTGGTTGGCACTCACGGTTCGTGGGCTTTCGCTCGCACTCACAGTTCGTGGCTTTCAGGGAGGCTCGCTTGTTGGCACTCACAGTTCGCGGGCTTTCAGGGAGGCTCGCTTGGTTGGCACTCACAGCTCGCGGGCTTTCAGGGGAGGCTCGCTTGGTTGGCACTCACAGCTCGCGGGCTTTCAGGGGAGGCTCGCTTGGTTGGACTCACAGCCCGCGGGCTTTCAGGGAGGCTCGCTTGGTTGGCACTCACAGTTCGCGGGCTTTCAGGGGAGGCTCGCTTGGTTGGCACTTTCGCGGGCTTTCAGGGAGGCTTGTTTGGCACTCACAGTTCGCGGGCTTTCAGGGGAGGCTCGCTTGGTTGGCACTCACAGTTCGTGGGCTTTCAGGGGAGGCTCGCTTGGTTGGCACTCACAGTTCGCGGGCTTTCAGGGGAGGCTCGCTTGGTTGGCACTCACAGTTCGCGGGCTTTCAGGTGAGGCCCGCTTGCCTAATACCAATATTTCGCGCCGCTGATGACCTTAGCTGTTGACAAAGCAGATGATTTTAAATCTTAGTGAATCGCGGTGCCTTTATGAAAGAGTCGCAAGACCAATGCTTACGTTCCGCGGGCTTTGTTTGCACAATGTTCATACTTCGCGGCACCTTATACTCTTCAAATGAGAAGATTTATGTGGACTGTGTTTTGTAGCGAGTGGAAATGCACCAGAATCGCCTTGCCTGTTGGGTGAATAAAAGAAATGAGCGCCATAAAGATTTTCTCAGTGTATCTCCCGACACCATCTCGACTCTGACCTTAAGACATATTGAGTTTAATATGTAAAATCTGATGATAAACTGTATATCAACATCGCATGGATATCATTCATCTGTAGCATTTTAATGAAAGAGATAGTAGAAAAGTATGTATGTGTCTGTGTGAGCCTTCGCATGTTTATAAACAAAAATATATACATAAATACATACATACATGCATATATACATATATACATGCATACATATATACATGAACAGACAAACAGATAAACAAAAAGATAAACCGACAGGTAGACAGGCAGACAAACTGACTGACAGGCAGACAGATACAAACACAGCCAGCCAAACGGGCAGACAAAGACAGAGAAAGGAAGAGAGGACTCTGCCCCCCATCCCCCCCCCCCCTCACCCAGCGAGAACCACTTGGAAACCCGAAAACCATCTCTTTGCAGGTCGTGGCGGGGGAGTACGACCTGGACGAGGTGGAGGGCTGGGAGCAGATCAAGAAGGTCACGCGCAAGGAGGTCCACCCCGAGTACGACTTCGTGACCCAGAACAACGACGTGGCGCTCCTGAGGGTGTTCCCTTGGTTCCTGTACAACGAGAGGGTCGCGCCCTTGCCTCTGCCGCCGCCGATGCACCAGTCGGGGCATCCCCACTTCGCCTTCACGCACGACAATGGTTAGAGGGATTTTTGTTTCTTTTCTCCCTATTTGGTTGGATGGATGGGCGAGTGGGTGGATTGATGGGTGAATTGATGGACGGGTGGCTGTCTCTTTGTCTCAGCGCCTCAGTGTCTTAGTCTCTCTCTCTCTCTCTCTCTCTCTCTCTCTCTCTCTCTCTCTCTCTCTCTCTCTCTCTCTCTTCTCTCTCTCTCTCTCTCTCTCTCTCTCTCTCTCTCTCTCTCTCTCTCCCTCTCTCTCTCTCTCTCTCTCTCTCTCTCTCTCTCTCTCTCTCTCTCTCTCTCTCTCTCTCTCTCTCTCTCTCTCTCTCTCTCTCTTGGATCTCGTTATCTCCTGTCTCCCTATTTTGCCCTCTCTCTCTCCCTATCTGACACACCCTCCCTCTCTTTCTCTCCTCGCAGAAATGGGCCTCATCGCTGGCTGGGGACGCACGGCAGAAGTGAGTGAGATCTCCCACCTGGTGCTGATGGCCTACGCGCCCATTCTCTCGACCGAAGACTGCATCGGGGCGTATGGGGAAGCCATCACGGACTCCATGATGTGCGCGGGAAACCTCACCCACGGAGGTCTCGACCCCTGCCAGGTGAGGGAAGTGGGAGTTATGAGGGAGGAGGTGAAGGGAAGGGAGGGTGATGAGTGTGAGAAAAGTGAGGGCTGATAATAATTTAAATTCCCCATCTAATAATCTCACTTTCCATAATTTAATTTCGTTTCAACTCCCAATCTCACGACCCCTGTCCCCTTCTGCCAGGGCGACTGGGGCGGCGGACTCAAGACCCGCGAAGGATACCTGTTGGGCGTGTCCTCCTGGGGCACCGGGTGCGGGCGTCCCGGCTTGCCTGCTGTGTATACCAATGTGCAGAGAGTACGGAGCTGGATCTGCAGTGAAGTCACGTGTGCTACCTGCGAGTTCAGTGATGAGGCGAAGAGGATTTGTAATGATTAGTTATAATAAAGTTTTGTGATTGGTAAACGTTTCATTTTTATTGTAGGTTGCTTGGGAGAAAACCTTAGGGGTTCGGATGGAAGGGCGATGATAGGTTGAAGAGAGAGGCGGGAAAATGTGTGATCGTCTGCAGAATAAATTTGCGAAGAAAAGGCATGGAGGTCTGCTGCACATTTTTAAAGAGTAGGATTGAGACGTACTACTTTCAGGGGGGTACTTTCTTTTCTGGCCTATCGTTCCTTATCTAGAACACGTTGTTAAAGAATAATCTGTATAATTCTTTTGTAAGTTGCAGTTTTTCAAGGTTCTATAGACTCTTAAAATCCTCGTTAACAAAAACAAACAAACAAAAAAACGACAATAACAACGTCATTATGTTTTGCTGATCAAGTCAAGGTATGTAAAGTGCCAAACATTTGTTATATCGATAAAACAGTAAGTTAGTGTATCTTAATATTTCTAAATGTGCATCACGATATCTCTACATGTCGGTACCTATACATATCCCTATCCCGTGGAAAAGTAAATTCCATTGCTTATTTCTCGGGATATATCATTATATTGTGCAGGGACACCCACAGAATTACCCAGTGGAAGGCAGCAACACACCTGACAGAACACAAACTTATAGGCCATGTCATATTTGTGTGAATTAGTATCGATTATTTATTCATGCATTTTTGTTAATTACTGAAAAAATCCATAATTACTAACGAAGTAATAACTTTCCTATCAATGAATAATTTGTTATTGATTATTGTTTCATATCTCCATCTGCTTACCAATTGGAAAAAATACGTTCTTAATCATTGTTTACATCCATTAAGATCAAATATTTATCGATTTATTACAGAAAAACGTTCATACCAAGTTTTTCTCATGGCAAATTTTGTCCTTTTTATCTAGTTTAGTAGTATGTCCTTCATAGTAATAAAATTATAAATGACAGCTTTTATTTCGTATTTTAAGGTTTTATATATCCCAATCATAGCTTTAAAGCATTGATAGTTATTTTTTTCCCTAAGGGTCTCATAATTTTTACTCATTACCGAAATACATAAACAATAGTCATTTCCATTACTAATGGCATGCATAATGCCAGTTTAAACCTGATAGTATCCATGTTGTAATAAAAACTCTCAATATTTTGAACATTGTCTATGTTTTGATTTCTTAAATTTCTTAGCTAAACCAAGTACCACATTCTAAATGAATATTATATGACTAAAATGTCAATAATCAAATTATTTAAATTGTAGAACTTATTTAATTCAAAATATGCAGTAATATGATGAAACTAATCACATTGCCAAAGGACATGAAAGCTATTTGCTTTGGATGTGACTGAGTATTGGAGTACACATTAACTGTATTCCAGCCTCTCCTAGATGTAACAGAGAGGCCTGAAGACAAGACATTTTGTCAAAGAAGCCTAGTCAGACAAACTACTAATTCTCATTAAAAAAATCAAAGTCCTCATTGTTACTATAAAGGAAGTAACTAAGACTTATTCTGGACTCATTAGTAGGTTCTAATTCAAAGAATGACAAATGAAATTCTTTGCATAGTTTTTATTAAGTTTAGCTATTATATAGGTTCAGAATCTACAGGTCTACATCCACAAGATTCTCCTTCATACAGGTATACTTTTGGATAATACAGCGTTTGCCTAAATATAAGCATTTATAGTAATATACTTAGGGAAAATGTCTCTTTTCTGACAGCTGAATTCTAACCTTCAGCCAGACAACTACTGTGTTTTCTTCACAAAAAATATGATTTTCACTAAATAGATGTGTTTCAACAAATTCATTTATGACAATTTTGATTACTATGCAGTACTAACTGGAACCTTAATTCATCTTATCATAACCAAAATAGCAATGTACTAAAGCTACATGATTTTTTTCCTTTTGATTTGAAATAAAATTTAAGAAGAAAGTTCTTAAATAATTTAATTACAGTGAGCTTTGATTAACAGGTGCTAAATGAAAGTATTTCCTGTGAAGCTCATTTATTCAATATTGTTTCCTTATGAAATATATCCATTGTAGTAGATATACTGTCTGGATTCTCATAAATATTATCTTAATAATGGTAAATTACTCATCTTACCAACTGATATATTTTTTTTTTTTAATATATAATCCATTCAATTTCCAACTTCAACAAACTTTTAAGATTCATTCAAATCTTTAAATGTCTTTGAAAAAAAAAGACTGCTATTGACACATAGCATCACCAACACAATTCTTTCAAGTTAATCAACAATTCAGCACTTCCCGAGGACCATAGCAAGCAGCGCCATCCTCACATACATCCCTCCCTCAGCCTGACGGAAGTAAGCGGCCCGAGGATCCGTGTCGAATTCAGGGGAAATTTCCTGGTTCCTTGGCAAGGGGTGAAGAACAATCATCTTCCTTTTGGCACGTGTCATCAGGTGGGGCGTCACGATGAAGTGTCCACAAGCCTGGAATCCAATGGAGAATTTAATCAATTCACTGTACAAGACAGGTAATGTATATCAGTTTTCTTACATTTTGGGACAATACATTTTTTTTTTATATCAAATACATTAACTTTGGACAATTTCAGAGGTTTAATCTTACTCTTTCATAATCCTCTGGAGTTCCAAATCTTTCTTTCTGAATACGTGTCATATAGAGAACATCAGTGTCAGGAAGAGCTGCCTCTAAGCTACTAAATTCTTCCTGCAACAATAAAGTAAAGACATGAGTTTGTTAATATTCTTTGTTAAACTCATTGCTTAATAACACAATAGTTCAGAAATCACATACCTTTAGAGTTCAATTCAGTATAATCTTTATTTTAAATGAACTGTACACATAACGAACCTTCAAATATCACTCCCTACACTTTGTGCAAACAAATCCTTACTTAATGTTTCCTAGTTTAAGGTTTTACATACTTTCTGAGTTATTATCTTACCTGATGGATTCCTTGTGAAGCTGCATACTGTGTGACATAGTCTGGCATGCCCAAGCCAGGAGGAGCAACATATCTAAGCTGCACATTATAAAGTGTTAACAATCGAGCCAAGGAATGCACAGTTCTTCCATGTTTCAAGTCTCCAACCTGAAGAACAATGGGAAAGGAACAGAAGTCACAAAGAAGAAATAGATAAGGGGAAATTAATCTCAATAATAATTATAATAATAACAGTAAAATAAAAAAAATAAAATAAAAAAAATCATAATAGAAATTAATTTTCTGAAACCAAATTTAGAAGAAAGAGTCACTAATACATCACATGTGGTTTCTGCACCACAAATTATTTATAGTGATAATTCAAAAATCTCCAGCTTTTCCCATCCTTAATTGTGATTCTAGATGGTAAAATAGATGATCCCACAAACATCATTTATTCTAAAAACAGAAAACCTAATACTCTTCTCTTACCATTGTAATAATCAGGCCATTTACAGTACCAATTTCCTCTCTAATGGCAAACACATCAAGCAGTGCCTGCGTTGGATGCTCTCCCACACCGTCACCTGCATTTATAACTGGACGTCTGCTCACAGCTGCGGCTCTCTAGGATGATTTGGGACAAAATTTAGGTTGTTTACTGTATTCATGGAAAAGATAATAGGGATCTACACAAGATAACCAACCCAACACTCTTCTTATTTAGACACCAGAAATATTTTGTTTGACGTCTCTCATGGTTATGTATATAAATCACTTACTTATATGCAAACAAATACATCTTATGTTCTAATGACCATTAATCAAACCATTTAACAATATTTGGTAGTTTTTAAACAATCTAGTCCCATCTGTTTACTTCCTTTAGCTAAGTGTGAGCTATTAACCGTGGTCTTTCATTCTAGATTAAATAAATCTCAGAAAACATGAATATGAAGTGTGTAAAACCAGCACTTCTACTCACAGCCACAGCTCCAGGTTCAGGATGCCTCAGTACTACAACATCAGCATACCCTGACATCATGATCACAGAATCTGAAATATAAAGAAAATATATTGATATGTAGAGTCTTTCCTGTACTCCTGTTTATCAGACTGTACTCAGGGAATAGATTTACAATAGGATAATAAATGGTTATATTGTATCCTCCTGTTCTGATATCAATTGATATGGTTCTCATCTATTATTACCATTATTCTAATACTTGGTTATGGGTATTAATTACTTTAAACATTAGGTAGACTTTGTAATGCAACTTGACAGCTTCCTCTTGAAATATCTAGAGCATATGTTATGATGCAGTTATATAAAAATGTATATAAATTTCCCAACAAGTGATGCAATAAAAACCTGCATATCAGTTATGTTATTCATATATACCTATACATAAACTGATCTACAAAATAAACAGTTCTAATAAAAAAAAATAAATAAATAAAATAAGGATGAGACATACAACCAATATGTATTTTCCATACCTTCGAGGGTCTCTCCCTTCTTGACCGAAGAAGTGTTCGTGTCCATTGTAACTGTTCGACCACCAAGTCGCTGAATGGCTGCCTGGAAGCTGCAGAACGTTCTGGTAGACACTTCATAGAACATCAGTGCCAACAGCTTGCCCTAAAAGAACATGGGAGACAAGGCTGTAGTTTACATTCACCACATGACAAAAATCAAAAGAAAGAATATGAAACAACAGATCAACCAGCCTTTTGAAATTTAATGAAGTACTTATATATCACGTCCACTGCTTGTGCATATCTGCATGTGGTAATACATGATTTAAATGCATAATTTATATTTTCAATCCACAGTAAAATATGAAAGCTCATATCTGAGAGTTCATGAGTGTGGGCTTTTATGCAAGGGCTCATGTGCAAAGGCTCAATTGTGAGGGCTCGGGTGTGAGGGCTCGGGTGCGAGGGCTTGTGTGTGAAGGCTTGTGTGCGAGGGCTTGTGTGCGTGGGCTTGTGTGCGAGGGCTTGTGTGCGAGGCTTGTGTGCGAGGGCTGTGTGCGTGGCTCGTGTGCGTGGGCTCGTGTGCTTGGGCTCGTGTGCTTGGGCTCGTGTGCATGGGCTCATGTGCGAGGGCTCCTGTGCAAGGTCTTTCTGGCACATTCATGGGAGACCATTTATGTGAGAACTCATATAAACTCATTCACTTTCAAATAGTTATGTTAAAAGTAAAGAAAAAACAAATACCAATATTCTCAATATTTGTTCAAGGGATATACCTTACCTCTAGCATTCTATCCATTCCTGCCTTTAAAGCATAAGGATAGAAAAATATATTTACAGACTGTAATAAATATTGAAATCAGAAAAAAAAAAATGGTGGTAAGTATTAGAATTCTAGCCTAAGCATCTAAATTTTTGGCTGTACATTTTCTCCTTTCATTTAAATAGAAAACTTTCATCAAAATTATTTAATAGCCAAATGTAAGCTACAGTAATGTCTTCTGATATGAAACTGTGATTATATATTGTAAAATATCAAACAAGTGATGCAAAACAGTACAAAACTACTAATGATAAACATTAGGTATAAACATTCCAACAATATAATTCTCATATGACAAACTACTTAAATTGAATCCTATTTGTACAACTGGGAGACTGCTCTTACCTTAAGAATGTGCTCAAGGGGTCGCTCCTTGTTAATGCAGACACGGAAAGTCTGGGCCAAGTTGAAGATGTGGTTCAGCTGGTCTTTGCTTAGTCCCTGAACACTCAGGACATGTTGACCCTTGTAAAGAAGGAAAAGGATATAAATTTTATCTCTGATGCTTTTCCATAGAAATGTGGAGTTCATCTGAGTATAATGGAAAAATACTGTAGCTTAAAGTTTTGATGTTATTCCATGACATGAAAATGTAGCATTCATCTTTGGATACATAGTTGCAAAACAAATACTGTAGTTTTTAAGGCAGATTCAGTGGCTGTAAGTACCTCTTTATGTAAAACAAGAAATGAACAAGGAAAATAATCCATACAGATAAAGTTTTACAGTAAATATGGAGTCTTCATCTTCCTCTATTTTCAACCAGAATATACTTTCTAAGGCACTGGGCACATGTCTCTAAAATTCCTCTTGATGTAACTAACAACCCCTTTCTCTTTTTCTTTTATCTATATGATAATTTCGGTTATTACCTGAAGGCCGTGGGACGTTGTTATGCCAGGTAGACCAGATGGGATGCTGGGTGTTGGACGGGCTGGAGATGCATCCCTTGTCTTAAGTCTTGCCGTGGACCTTACTTTCCTTTCTGCCGAGTCTCCCACACCGAGCTCCATCAGCATCTCACTATACAACTCTAAAAATATTTAGCCAATCTTAGAGTAATTATTAACATAATCATTATCATTATTATCATCATTATTAACAATATTATCATCATTATTATTTTTTTACATTATCATTATTATCACATCATTATCATATCTATTATAATTACCATTATCATCATTATTATTATTGTTATAACTTGCTATTATTATCATTATCATTACTATCACATCATTAACATAATATTACAGAAACAATGCCATAAAAATAATAGGCATTGTCAAATTGGCAATTACAAACTGTTGAGAAAAAAAATCCTGATTACAGTATCTGTAGCTTTTCCATCTTAGCCCTCTTGAATTTTTTCTATCCTTAACAGCACAACACTGCTCTTAAGTCTGATGTTCTAACTCTTAATACCTGATGTCTGATGAAGCGATTGCCCAACTTTGCGTGATGGAGAAGAGAGGGAAGGAGTGACCGTTGTAGGTGTTGCCAAGACTGGTTCTGCAGGAGTAGGAATTTCTCTATTAACTGCAACTTTATGGTCAATAAACCCTGTAAAGAGATATTCTTTGATCAGTAATCATGAAACTTCCTAGCACAATCCAAAGTATCCAGTACTGCTTTTTATATAAAACTGTAATAATAGCAAAAGAAAACAAACAGACCTAATAACTTCATCTTCAACAAGTAGACAACATCATACCAGTCTGTATATCCACAAAATTTTCCTATCTCTACTCTAGCTACTAGTTTTTTTATTAGGACTTGCAAAGCAATGCATCCTAGTAGAAATAATCAACAAAATCCTACCTGTATTATCAATGTTAATATAATCCCACTAATACATTCATTCACTTCAACTAACAGCAGCAACTTATTCAAATTGGTTACAATCCCACATTACTACCTTTAAATATCATGACTCAAACACTGCTCAAATTGGCGTTAAGTACAGTACCTGCTGGTGTATGTTGACTGTGTGGTGGTAAAGTGATAGTCGAGGGATGAGTACAAAGGGGACTTGGGAAAACAGGGGGTCCTCCAGTGACACTTGAGGATGCAGTAGTAAGAGGTTGGGCTTCCCTGATATCTTCGCCAAAGCCAGGGGACAAGAGTACCTGTTAAATAATAATTTGGTTACATCATGAAAATTTTATGGGAAGAGAGAATTGCTCTATAATAACAATTATCAATTTCTATCTCAATGATTAATATGTATCAATAAAATAATACCTAACTCATGATTGTAACTAAAAAAAAAAGAGCCATCATTAAAAAAAAATGAATAATCGAAAATGAAAAAAAAAAAAAACCTTACTTGTCCATCCACATAGGCCACTTCCCCTCGCAGGACGACCCTCTGTACTCGTCCAGTTACTTTCATGCCAGCGAAGGGGGTCCATTGTGCCTTACTGAAGGGCAGAGCTTCAGGAATAGTCCACTGGGCATCAAGATCAATTTCTATGTGCGTTCTTGGTTGGCGCGGCAATTGGAAAATGCGACGAGGATTGTGGTGCAGTTTATTGATCAAGTCCTGGTGAATTATGTAAATGGTTAAAAAGAAAGTAAATTCCAGTTTGACAGTATATCTACACAAATCAACACAATATAAAACAATACAATGGACTATGTAGACTTTAGTAAATATGTTTCTTCTTAACATTTCTAATCAACTCACCTCCATTGAGAGCCTGCCTTGTGTTACTGCTGTTAGCAGGAGTGGCAGCATTGTCTCAAGTCCAGGGAAACCAGGGGGAGCCTTAGCCCCTGTTTTCTCCTCGAGTGTATGTGGAGCTGGAATATAATAAAGTAAGAATGAAGTACCTTATTAGTTCAACTATTAATAATTCAATATCAATAATTATTATGATAACAATAATAACAGTAATAACTAGCATTGACAATAATAAATATAAATGTAATAACTTAAAAACATATTTTTACAATTAATTTTTTTTTTTATAATAATCAAATTTAAATATGTAAGCCAACTGAAGTTAGCAAGGCATTTCCTGCATGTCCTTAAAGCTATGAAAAATTGCCAATTGAATGAGAAAAAAATATATTATAGATTCAATGAACTTACCATTTGCAGAATTAATCAAGAAATCCAAATTTCCTGATAGGCATGAAATTAGAAGTAAATGTTTAAGATTACCTTGACAAAAAGTAGAGCTAGACACAGCCAATATCCAATTACAACAAAGCGAGATATATTCCTGCTGTACAATACCTATGAGTAAACTGACATGACATTGATCAGAACATCAGTTTGCTGATGTTATTACTTATGGGAAAACATTAAAATATGTAACTAAGAAATGTATCAAGTCTATTACCTTTTCTTCTTCTACAGATCTTAATCTTAATCTTCCTCTCATTCTACAAAATTATTTTATCTTGATAATTCTTAAATATCATTTAAGCATTCAGAACTATGTATCTTAAATTCTACAACATAACTTTCTATAAATTCTACAACATATCTTTCTATAAAATACAAAACTTTGAGATCAGAAGTTAGCCAGAAAATGCTGTACAAAATTTATGAAGTTAAACCTCCATCACACACAAACCAATCCTTATAATCAATACATTTATAAACAAAAAGTCTAAATCTATTATTCAGAACACAAAAGTGCAAACTTGCACATCTATTGTATTTATCACCTTAGGAAACCACAAACCTGTATTCATCATTAAGAACACATACAAACGTGTTTACATACACACAAATAATAAACCTATAATCGTGTTTCAACAGGAAAACAAACCAAGTTTACCATGGTCTGTTGCAAAGCAGTCAATTATGTCCAGATTGTCCCACAGAGCTTGCTGATCTTCACTTGTAACAAGACAAGGTCGAACTTCCCCTTTTTGTCCAAGCTGCTCCAGGTTGTCACAGGTAAGGAACAGGTGATGAGGACACACTTCACAGGTTACTTGCATTCCCTGAGTAAGTAGGCAGAAAGATTTTTGTCAAATATACATATTTACATTATTTTGACTATTTGGAAGAGTGGAACAGTGGTTTATTTTTGGATGCAAGCTGTTCTGCTGGTTTTCAAAATGCAGTTATTGATGTTGCATTTATTGATGTTACAAGTCGCTTCTTAGATCTTAGGGTTTCGAATGACCAGATACATGAAATATACTCCTAATAATAAATTTTTCACTCCTCTTCTGCACTTGCTTCAATTTTCATATTCTAGCTACTTGAAAGCTCAAGAATTAATAAAGCAAAAAGTGAAACAAATCAATATCTAAGAGATCTAGATTCCTTTCTAGGAGCACAACAATTAATTACCTTTGCTTTGGCTGCTCTAATGAGAAGGATTTCCTCCTTCCGTGCAACATGGCAGACGTGAATGGGCCTCGATGCCAAACTTGCAGTCATTAATGCAGCTGCCATGGTGCGAGCTTCTGCATGGACACACACTGGGATGTGCGCTGGCCAGGACTCCAGGTGCTATAATCAGAAATTAATAATTTGTTTTTGCAATTTTTTTTTTTTTTTTACAGGGTGGTGATGCCTTTATCTATGTGATTTATCAAGATCATACACAATGTTTCCTTATAATGTATGCACTATATTTGAAGTGCATCAAGATATGTATGAATCAAACAACAAAATCAATTCAGATTTGACAAAACAACTGAAAAAACAGATAAAAAAAAAGAAGGACTGATATAACCAATGTTCAACCCACTGATAAAAAGGACCATAATCTAACTCACCTTAAGCCAAACCGTTGTATCGTCTAGCTTGAGTGTCGTAAAAGTCTCATTCAGGTACATCTTGAGAGCAGCAGAACGAGGAGCCAACTCAGGAGCTGTGTTGTAGTTGTCACTTGAAGCACCCATGAAGATAGCATAATCGCAGCGTGCACCCCGACTGGCAAGCTAAAATGATGAATGTTAACAATTACATACTACGATTTTCAGTTTACATATGCAGAGAAGTCACTCTGTTGCATATCCAGTTACCATATATAACAGTTACTTATAAGTCAATACATACAGCCCAAACTATATTTTCCTATTCACATTTTTTATGCATTTCAGTAGGCAAGAGAAATGACTGACTTTTAATTTCACATTCACCAAAAAAAAAAGAAAAAGAAAAGAAAAAAAATCATATCTGAATGATGATATCTAATAATCATTTTATGAATGGAACAAGTTTGTTTGTTTTTTCTTTTCAAATTAATCACCCTATCTCAGTAAACAGCATGAAAAAAAGTTTATTACTTAATTACCAAGATTAAAAATAAAACCCTTTTGTATTAGTTATTCCATCCAATCTATTTTTACCTCCTTGGACAGCGTTAGGGTATCAAGGTCGGTGACAGGAGGCTGGGTGTTGGGCATGGCACAAATGAGTGTCACACCCCCGGCCAAAGCTGCAGCCGTGCATGATGCCCAGTCCTCCTTATGAGTCGCACCTGGAACACAAGAGCAAACATTCGCAAGGATCATCAAACAATAATTAACTTTAATCAGTAACAATTTATCATATATTTATCATACAAGTAGCATACTTACACTCAATAACCTATTTCATTACCTAAGTGAGAGATTCTTCTCTTGAAAACCTAAACCTCCATATTATTAATAAAACTGAATGACTTCAGAGTCACCTATGTCACAAAAAGCAGTTTCCTGGGACCTCACCTGGTTCTCTGACATGTACATGGATGTCAATAAGCCCTGGCAACTTCACAATCCTGCGTGAAGTGACACAGTCCACATGCGTCTTCAGGTCTGGAGCTCCACCAATTAGTCGTAAGGCCTGTTAGTAACCAGAAATTAATCAGAAAGATCGAAGAATTATTGATGGAAGTTTTCTGAGGTACAGCAAATAAAACACTTACCTTAACAGTCTAGGATAGGAACATACATATCTTCTAAACAATGCTTTGTTTATCATTGCCATCAAAAACATCAACAAGAGGTCTAGTAAAATACGATCTTGAAAAACATACTGTAGTATAACATGATAGTAGATTAAGATGGGCATAAAAGACAATATCTATGAAGAAAAAAAAAAAAAAAAAAAAAAAAGACTGCTGCTTCAATTCAAAATGCAGCAACAGAGACTTAAACAAAACATAAAAATCATTGATAATCCTTATCAAAGTAGGTTGTAAAAGGACCTCTGAAGAATGAAAAGCAATAAAAAGGAAGTAAATGCCCTGAAAGGTAACCAATTAAAGGCAATATACAAGTTACAATTTTGAACTACATGAATAGATAATGCCCCATCCTGACAAATGGGGAAAACAAAGAAAAAAGTCAGACTGAATGACAGTGAAATGTAGAAAATATACAACACAATATATCAAGATTTAAATACCAAACCAACAGTGTTTAGTTACTGTGCGATCAGAATAGTTTGGTCTTGGAAGGATCCAACTCATATACAAGAAAATGGTAGTATCGACATTATGTTTCACAAAATTTGTGTAAAAATGTGAAAAGAAAAGACTAAAAACCATTTTGACAGATCTGCAAGAATCCGTCAGCCAACAGAAATACTTGGCACCAAAGAAAACATACCGTCAAGGGAACCGAGTCACTGAAAGACTTCACACACTGTAGTAAGAGAACTAATAATTAGTCTACAGTTGTTGAACATCAAATATTCAACTACTATGACTTCAGCAAAGTAATAAAGCCATGGTTTTATCAGGTTATCAGACAGACTAATACGAAGCTTGACACTAAGGAAAGCAGTCACTAGAGGCCATCTATGTCTTCTATTATAGCATCAGGCATCTGCAGCAGCAACAACTCACATCAAACGAGGCACTGACGAAGTTTTTAACACCATCAATCCCTAGCAGACTTCTCCGCCGCTTAATCAATGATTTCTTTCTCTCTTCCTCTTCCTTCTCCTCCTCTTGGTCCTCCTCGCATCGGAAATCACAGAGCTCAACCCCATCTTCTATCCTACTCACAGAACTTGCTCTTTGGCCCCGTGTTGCATGTGCCGTGTCAGGTGGATCCTTCTTGGCAGCTTCTCCCTCAGAGACATGCTGGACAACGACCTTTGGTATTGTCTGCGAGCTCCCAACACTGTGCCTCCTTGCTGGTTCCCTTGGAGCCCTCGGCAATACTATACCATTTTCCGTGACCATACGCCTGGGCACTCTCCTCCTGGCATAGTCAGCCAAGTAAGCTCGACTCGGGTCACTGGCTAATTTGATGTCATCTGGACAGTTTGCAATGCTATTCATCTTCAGGACCCGGTTTTAGCAAGTTGGTAATGGTGGGATGCCCATACGACCTCAAACACTACACATCACAGAAGGAAAAAAGTTGAAGCTCATTATTTTAATCAAGAGGGACAGATTAGCCATCCAAATACCTAATATTCACCTATTCACCAGAACCTTCGTCCTGCATGGATATTTATGCATGCTTGCTAGAGCTCACGTGCCTAAATGACTGTACCACACAATAAGCCCATATTTTAATGAGGGGAGGGGGCACTTTAGAAAAAAAAACACTGACTCACACACTCACTCACACACTCTCTAATTCACTCAACCACCCATTGTAACCGAAAATCCTAGTTTAAACAACTAATGGACATACATATTAGGATTATAAAAGGTAACTATGAGTACCTTCTTTCACTGAAATGAAGGTATTCTATTATATTACAAAACCACCAATTCAACACTATTCATTCCTAAAACCTCACAACCCATGACAATCCCTTCAAAAACTATTATCATTAAAAATGTATTATTACTAACTAGTATAAAACCAATTACTATAATTTATACACTGCGTATTCCATATCTCATTATCATTATTTCAAGTCTCAATATTTCCTGTACGAATTCATTATAGAGCCAATGTATTTACCATTTCTTTATAATCTATCAATATCAACAACATGTGTGCATATGTATATATATTTACTATTTTAAGCATTCACACATGACTCACTATATAAGTGACCTTTGCTTTCAACAAATGCCTATCTGCAGCCCCCTTTCCATCAATGTCAACTTTCTCACCTCGTCACTCTCAAACCTTTCATATTTAATAACTCAATGATAAGATACGTTTGTATTCTAAAAAGCAGTTTACTTGTATATTTTTTTCTTATCCCCCCCCCCCTTTACTCACACATTGCTCTTGATAGTTCATGATAAGATTTGTGTGTAATCCAAAATGTATTTAAAGGGGGGGGGGGGTAGTTTTATATGTATCTTTACTCACGCATTACTAATATCCAAGACCATTTAACTATCATGTTTTATTTTTTTCCACAGTAC